GTATATAGGTATATACATGAATGTATATATATATATATATACATATATATATACACAGTTATTTATTTATCGATTTAGATAGGCCATATCTGCACAGCGGCTTTGTTCTCCGACGACCACAATGGGGAAAAGAGCACGAAGTGGTGGACAGAGGCAAAGGCTCGACGAGCTCAGAAGGCAGGAGGAGACTGAGACCGAGAGCAGCCATTTGGCGGAACACCTACTTCTGAAATGGTCCTGGGGCGAAATGAGTGCCCAAGACATACAAGTTATCGCAGATCTGGCTGTTGAAGATTGCGAGCGGAAGCGAGATCTTACAAAGCTCAAGCAGCTCGGGGAGGCAGGATCGCATGGTAGGTATGCCAACAAGGTTTACCAGGCAGTTTACAAGGTTGCTTCCCAAGGCATTCGTATTCCAACACCTTCTTTGGTCAAGATTCCTTTCAAGAGCCCATGGGGCATGATGCTGCAGGCTGTCATGCTTCCACACATCCTTTTTGCTAGCATCTATTCCGGCTACAAGAACACCTGGAAGAAGTGTATTTGTCCGAGTCTGGAAGCTTTGGAGCAGTTTTGGACTATTATGGTGGAGACTGGGAACCCGAACATTACACCAGCCATGACCCGAAAAAAAGATTGGAAGCGGCGGCTGATACCGCTGGCACTCCACGGTGATGGAGTGCCGGTGACAGGCCTGGGCAAGTCCTGGGTGAAGACGGTTACAAACTTTGCCTTTTACTCCCTCTTGACCCTGAGCACATCCACATGTGACAGTTTGTTTTTTGTGTATGCCATGGTGGATAGGATGAGAGTCGATGCCAAAAACTTGACTGGCACCGCACACTATGTCTTCGTCCTGCTTCGCTGGAGCTTCCAAGCACTCTTTGCAGGTGTTTGGCCGTCAGCTGACCACTTAGGTCAACCGAATCTTGGCAGAATTTCTTTTGTAAGGCTTTTGTAACCTCAGGCCCTACCAAAACTTTTAGCTCGCTGTATCCGCTTTTGTATTTGCACAGACACACACACAGACACACACACTCACACACACACACACGTGTCTGTGTGTGTGTAACATGTATATATGTATACATATTTATGTATGTTTGTGTTTGTGTTTCCTTTTCATGTCTAGAAATGTGTAAGCAGTATAACAAAGGACCTTTGTTGCAGCACAAGCCTGAAAGCTGCTGTTTAAAGATTGGGCTTCCGGAACCCCACATGCATATATGTACATCTATATGTACATATATATATAT